GCCGGGTGCTGTGTGTGCTTTTCGTTTCGCTTTGAAATTATTAAGCATATTTATAAATAACCAAAATAAAACAGAAAATCAGCAGCAGCAGCAGCAGCAGCAGCAGTGGCAACAAAAAATCTAGAAAACAGCAGAATGAAAGCCAAATAAATGCCAGACGCCAATAATGCCGCCAAATGCGTGGAGCAGCGGGCACACTTGTTGAGATGCACTCAATCCCGCTGGTTGCTGGTTGCTGGTTTCCGTTCCTGAAGGCCATCGGAGAAGGTGCGGCTAGACGAGTGGGCAAGAAAGAGAGAGAGAGAGAGATACGAAGGAGAGAGTGTGTGTGTGAGAGACGCTAATCTGTCAAATTCTTGAATACTTTCGTAAATTCTTTGTTTCATATAATGAAATGAAAAGAAAAGTGGAAAATGTCCCAAAATGAGTGGAATGAACGAAAAGAGATGAGATGGGATGGGACGGGATGGGATGGGATGGATGGGAAATCTGTAATATCGATAAAGACTTTTACTTGGCAACTATCCAGGAAATACTTTCCCTCTCCCAAACGCCTATGATTGATGAAATTCAATATTGTATTCCATGAATGTGGGCAATGATATAATAATGTAAGAGTTCAAAACTATAGATCGGAGTAGTTCTTCCGTTAAGAAATACTATATATGGTAATGATTTGGTCGGTTAAAGCTCTGTTCCTGGGTACGAGTACTAGTACTAAAAGCAAATCAGTTTTCCTTTCAAGAATTCCAAATAAATACTCTTTTACTCTTTTCAGTATATTCTTAGTATTCTTACCCTCTCTTAAGCAATCACAGCTATCCATAGATACATATATACGTCCAGTAATCGTACTATATATATGTACGTTGTCTTCTTCCCGTTCTTGACTCATTTTTTGACGACTTTGCCAAGCAGAAATTCATTTCCAAAACCAAAAGCCATCGAGAGACACCCGTATATCTAGCAGTTGAACAAATATTTACATATATATTGTATATATCCAAAGCATTATTCGCTGTCCATACATTTCATTTGAGATGGAAGACCATTTCACGGCACCACATTTTTAGTGGGGACTGTAATCCCGTGCGGTAATTTAATAAGTGCCACATCCAAGTCCGACAACTGGTTGAGTTTTTTGAGTGCTGCTAAGAGTATACGTATACGAAAGAAGCAAAGGGGGGAACAGAACATTTATCCTTTGGGGGATCAGAGAGTCCCCCAAGACCTCACAGTTGACGTCTCACACATCGAAGCCCATATCCATTCAGAGCAAGTGCAGTCTTTATCAAGCTCAATTCTGAGACCCGGCTCAATTGCTCCACAGATCTTGAATGCTATCCCAGGCCAGAGTCTGGGGCTGGGGCTGGGGCTGGGCCACTTAGTCTAACAGTAATGGACGCTAAACGCTGTCTCGTTTTGGGAAGCCGCTGAGGCTGCTGTCGAGGTTGCTGATTGCTGACAAGTTAATCAACAGCAGCATAAGGCATTATTCCGCCCCGATCTCCCTCAACCATACACACCCACCCATCCATCCATCCATCCATCCATCCATCTATCTATGCATATGTACATACATACATATGTATGTATATTGGAGCAGATACTATAATGCCCGACACTTTCCACTGTCTATGGCCCTGCCGGCTAATCTGTACTCCCCCCCTCCCACCACACTCTGTGTCTATCTGAAGTACCCATATGTGTACGTACCGCTCGTATGCGATATGCACACACAATAGACACTCGTATGCACCCGCATGCTCTGGTGGAAACGGCCCTGAACTTTGGGGCGAGATCAATTTGCACTGTCACGAATTGGATTGGAAATGATGCGAAATGTGTCAAAATACAATAGCAACACACGACACAAATAGTATCAACTCAGGCAACTCGGGCAACTCGGGCAACTCGGGCAACAAACACGCTACTTATTGCCTTCTGCTCTAAAAGGCAGATCATTGTTTGAATTCAATACGAGCTGCTTGCTGGGCCCTTATCCCCCTTATTCCTTATTCCTTATCACTTCCAGTCGCCCCCCATAAATCGGTTGTCTTGATCGGTGACTGGGTTGAGCCCGGCCTCGACGGGACCAAAAGAAGTCTCTGAAGATAGTGCAAGTCTGCATCTGCATTGGGGATTTGTTTCACTTCTTATCGTCTTATCGTCTTATCGTCCTGGGGACGAGTAGAGAGAGAGGGTGCTCCTATCTCTCTGAACGAACCCTGGACAATCCATTCAAGCGGGGGTGTTGCCTAGTACTATTGTTCGGAGGCAGTGCACAAATAGTTCCGAGCTGACTCATCCATAAGGCCGAAAACGGGGTCACTCTGGTGTCTCTCAGTGCACGGCCTGGCACATACTCTTACGTACATATGTGCACATATGTCTAGTACTTGTTGTTTAGGAGGAGTATGAGCATGAGCAAAAGCAAACATTAACATTTTTATGCTTTGCAATTTGAAAATGCAAGTGGGTCGCCTATCCCACCAAGCCCGCCATGTCTTCGGCTCGCCGGATTGATCATCGTTCGGACCTGTCTTTTATACATAGATACACACATGTACTCGTACATGTAGTTTATGTGTGTCCCCACTCCCTTCTGTTTTCACTCCAAATTTGATTTATTTGCGTTCGTCTTCGCGCATTTTAATTGTATTTGTTGTCAAATTGTTGTTGACTTAATTGCCCCCCACCCAAACGTTTCTATCCGAAATGCAAATTGAGTTTCTGTGCCATTGGATATGCCCGATCGACCGTGATCTATGGCTATGGCTATGGCTATGGCCCTTGGCGCCGCCCCTCTCTGTCCTCTCTGTCCGCCGCCACTTGACTTGGTAATCGAAGGCTCTTTTATGGCATAATTATTTAGAAATTATATATGTATATTTTCGGCGCGGAAATATCATAGCGAAATGAGGTCTAGCTTCGCCGAATCAAAGCTTTCGCTCCAAACAATTATAGATCGATATTAAAGGTAGATATCGCATGCAAAGGCCCGAAAATTGATAGACAACACAGACCCAGACGCGTATTTCTCGCACTGTACCAGATGACCTCTGTTCCTCTGCTTTCTGCCTCTACCATTGCCTCTGCCGATTCAGAGCAAGCTCTGATAAACAGTCGGAAAAGATGAGAGTAAAGCCAAGATCCGGCACTCCATGAATCCCCAAAGATATCGGACTCCGACGTACATATACCATACATATATGTATGTATGTATAGCATATTTGCAGTGGATGAAAACTCTCAGTGTCTACTCATTTCTTTTTTGTATAATTAATTACGAAGTTTTTTGAAGCTGGCCATCAATCAGTCGACTCACGTAGCTCATATAATGACAATCAATTCCGATTTTCAATCGGTTGTCGGTCCGAATTTGTCTTTAGGGGCGCTGCGCATGCGCCAAAACAGTCGGAAACATCCGTCCAGCAGACGTCTTCAGACATACATAAATATGTGTGATCAGAGAAGGAGGAAGGCAGACAAGGCAGAAGCAAAAGGTAGAAAGAGTGGCACTGAAAACATACTATAGATAGTATTGAAGAATATCCAAAGCAATGTCTTCTATGAAGAATGCAAAGAGAGAGTGGAAAAATAGCAATTGCTTACCTAAGACTGTCCCATTGCTGGGAAATCCTGGTAAACAGGCGTCATACGAATAACGGACGAGGTCTGGCGAGAAAAGAGCGAGAAAAGGGGCACTGTTGGAAGGCATCAGGGAAGGCATGGCATCATCCCATCGCGCTACTCAATTCAATGGTTCAATGTGCCATTTTTCATAGGACTATGGGAGGATTGGGCAGGTGGTCAGGTGGGCAGGAGGATCGTAAACCCAAATCGCATTCCGCCTGCCACGTAATTGCTGCTGGCTGGTTCTGGCCACTGCGAGCCTACTGCGGGCGGCCATTTAACGAAATCGAAATGAAATTAAATGCAGCTGACCTAAAAATGCAACAAATGCCTGCCACGTGCCACGTGCCATGCCACGCCATGCCATGCAACAAAAGTTGCACAAGCACTAACAGCAGCCACAAAATCCGATGGCTAATATAGGGTGCCCCAGGCGCAGACTTCTTAGGGCCTGCCTGCAAGTAGAGCCCCAAAGACCAGAAGCTCAAAGCTCATAAGCCAACTCTGAATTGGTTGTATATGTTTCAGCCAGAAAGCCATAAACAGCCAACGATCTATTAGATCTGTGAGGCTGCCACACACCCTGTATGGGCTGTTTTCCTCCACAGCAAGTGTCGTCACTCGTCGTCACCGTTTCCCGGCAGCAGTCTATCGGGCAGCTGCAGCGTTAACAATTACCGCGTGGCCCAGGTCCGGGTACGGGTCTGGGTCTGAGTCCGGAGCCAAAGGTCCGGCGTGCTGGCTTTGATGGCTCCGCCGTAGGGGCAATTAACCCAATTGCTGAGTGCAATGACTCCGCCGCGAAACCACGAAGCCGCGGACCACCCGCCCAGCCAGGCATCGGCACTGCCCACTTCCTCCCGTGGCACGACCACGCAAGGTTGCAATCACAACATTCAATTATGGTTATGGCCGAAACAACAAATGAAAAGCGCAGGAAAATGCATTTGCTTCTGCTTCTGCTTCTGCTTCTGTTCCTCTGCTGCTCTGCCAGCTGCGGCGCTGACGTGTGCCTGACCCATTTTTTCACCCACCCACACACGCACGCAGACAGCCGCACAGGGGCATACATATGTACACATAAATACATATGTATAAGCCACATCCTGCCTGACGACAGGGCTGTCGTCGTCGTCATCGTCATCGCTGTCGTCGTCGTTCGTCGATTGCTGAAAGACTCTGAGCACTGTTGGGGAGGGGAGGGGGGGCGGTGGGGGGACTGTTTTCGCCCGATGGGGGACTGCGAACTGAAAGCGATTTCAGTTTGCTTTGTGGCCTGCGGGCGAAAACTGTTGCATACTCCCGGGCGCTGGCACACATCTGATTGACTGACTGACGCTCTCTGTTTTCCCTCTCCGGCATAGAAGCACAGCAGCTGCATCAGCTGGAACAGGAACAGGAACTGGACCCGGAGCCACAGCAGATGCCCTCAAAATGGTGCACCACAGCAACGAAGATGCCATGAACAAGATTCCCCTGAAGTCGGCCAGCGGCCTGGACTCCGACGAGGAGAAGAATGGCGGTGAACTGATGCAGGACACCGCCGCAGCCGAGGAGGCGAGGCGCGAGCAGATGTAAGTTGGAAAGAGGGTGGAGGGGGCTCAGGGGGCTGTACTAAGAGGCAAATAATTGTGCTCCTTTTTCGCAGGAGAGCCAAGCTGCTGGCCTGGATGAAGAAGCTGACCATTGTGCTCATCTGCTTCATTGGCATTGCGCTGATCAGCTACGTGATCATCAGCCTCTGCTTCAGTGGTGAGTACAGATCGTACGGGTCCTAGGGAGAGCAGGATCGAGCCAATCACACCCAGCTAACAAGTCACTCCACACCCAAGGCAAACTAAACCATAAACAGGCACAGACACAGACACAGACACAGACATAGACAGACAGACCGATAGACCGATAGACAGAAAGACTGACTCTTTCGTATTCGTATTCGTATCGTTATCGTTATCGTTATCGTTGCTTTCTCTGCATGTTCCGATCCATCCTAACCAAGCACCAGGCATTTAATCAAGCTCAAAATAATTTCTTCTATTGTGGCACCCAAAAGTATTCACATGAAAAAAACCAAAACGTAAAACTTTACACCCTAACCTCACCTAACTGCAACTGCAACTGCAACTGCAACAACGAAGACTGGCCCAAATCGACGCCACATAGAAACAGCACCAAAACAGCAACAGCAACAGCCACAGCCACAGCACCAATAATTGCAACAGCAAGCACAACCACAGAGGCAACAGCAACAGCGACAGCGACAGCAGAAGCAACAGAAATTGCAAGTAGCACAGCACCAACGGCAACGGCAACAGCAACAGCAACAGCTACAGCACCAATTAGCACTCCAACAACACCAACAGCAAGAACGGTTTATGATAGCACCACAACAATACCACCAACAACAACAACAACCACAACAACAACAATTTCAACAATAGAACCAACAACAACAACAACAGAAAGCACAACTACAGAAAGCACAACAGCAGAAAGCAATCCTAGCCACAAGACACTTAAAACATTTACTTTGACAGATGAGCAGCCGCAGGAACAGCCGCACCAGGACCCGGAGGAGGCGACCCCCATCGGCAACCTCAATTTGCTGGACGGGTCGCCGGGTGGCACCACCACCCCGCCAGAGGACACACTGCCGAATGTGGCCGCCTCAACGTCGGCGACAGCGGCCCCCACACTGTCCACTGTCTTCGCGGATCAGGTCAAAATCGATACCAGCGAGAAGTTCGATTCCATTCTGGGTGTCTACCAGAAGGCGGCCGTGAGCTCCGACAACCTGGAGTGCAGCAAGATCGGCAGGTGAGAGATCGAGGCCAAAAGTCATTGCCAAATCCAATGGCTCCCATGGCTTCGAATTTGAGTACAATGCTCGTAGTCCCCCGAATCACTAAAAATCGATGTGTGTATTCCTGATCGAACCCTAAACTACCCAGCGAGCCCACACATCCATGTCTGTCTGAAATTGTCAAGTCCGATGTAAGCCGATCTATGCAGATAAACAAAAAACCATCGATGAAATAGGGCCATCCCCATGTAAACCAACACGTTAAGCCACACACTATTGATACAGACCTATGATGCATAATGGCAGATGGGACTTATAGCTTATTGACTCGTTCTCTCCCCTCTCCATTCTCCCGCCACAGCGACATACTATCACGGAACGGCAGTGCTGTGGACGCGGCCATCGCCGGGCTCCTGTGCAACGGCCTGCTCACGCTGCAGAGCATGGGAATCGGCGGCGGTTTCCTGATGAACGTGTACAGTCGAAAGGAGCGGCACGCCACCTCCATCGATGCCCGCGAGGTGGCACCCTACGCAGCCGAGCCGGACATCTTCGACAAGAGTCCCGAGCAGTCCTTCGAGGGACCCTTGAGCATCGCGGTGCCCGGCGAGGTAATGGGCTACCATGAGGCGCACTCCAGGTTTGGCCAGCTCCCGTGGGCGGAGCTTGTGGCACCTTCGCTCAAGCTCTGCGAGACCGGCTATCATATGTCCAAGCACATGGCGAGGGCGCTCAACCAAACATGGTCGAATATCAAGGATCAGGAGCAGTATCAGTGAGTAAAACTCTTCACTTAAAATGTAGATCTAGCCTCAGAATCGTATAGTGTACGAGTATAGCAGGATTCCAATAACGAGTGACCCACTTTAGCGAATGGAACAGGTTCCATTTGGGTGACGAAAAACCAGACACTCTTCTTTCAAGTATTACAATTCACCTCACTAAAATCCATCCATATCGAACGGCGTACTTTCTGTATGCATCAGTACTTCATTCCGTTCGCTTATGGAACATTTGTACAGCTTACACACTCATCAATGAGTCGGTAGCGGAAATAGAATAGACACTAACTTGTGTGCTTGGGTTCTTTGGGTTACATAAACAGTCGTATTAGCCCTATTCCATATTTAAATTTTCTTTAAACTTAGAATCCTCTAATTCACAACTTTAAATTTTCTTTAAACTTAGAATCCTCTAATGTTCTATATCTTGTTATTGGTGCGAACCTGGCAAATATGGGGGGGTCTTTCTGGCTAATCTAACCTCTTTAACCTATGATCTTTGAATCTGTTTCGCACTCAGAATTTACTTGAACAAGGAGACAGGCAGGCCGCATGCTGCTGGAACTGTGGTGAAGCCGCCGAAGCAGATCTGCGAGTCGTACAAGCTGCTGGCAGACAACGGGCCCCTGGACTTCTACAACGGCACCTTGGCCAAGCTGCTGGTGGAGGATCTGACGGAGTTGGGCAGCATTGTAACCGGCGACGATCTGCAGTACTACTCCGCGGACGTGGTGCACTCGATAACCATGGAGCTGGGCGAGGACACGCTGTACGTGGTGCCACCTGTCAGCTCGGGCTCGGTGGTGGCCCATGCGCTTAGTATCCTGCAAGGCTACAACTTTACCAAAGACGATCTGGCGACTGAGGATCTGCGTGCCCGCACCTTCCATCGGTTTGCCGAGGCCATCAAGTTTGGCTTCGCCCATCGCTCAGAGCTGGGCGACTTGCACTTCATCGATGTGCGGGAGCTGGTCAGCAAGCTGAATAGTCCGGAGTTCGGAGCCCAAAACCGCGCCAAGATCAACGACAGTCACGTGCTGGAGGGTCCATCGGCCTACGGAGCTCAGTACGGGACCAATGGTGACCCCGATGGGACCTCTCATCTTGTGGTCTTGGCCCCCAACGGGGATGCCGTCTCGGTGACCAGCTCCGTCAATTCTTAGTGAGTCCGCATCGGTTTCAGGTTCCCTATTCGGTTCGTATTTTAATTGCTGATCGTTCTCCTTCGCAGCTTTGGCTCGGGCCTGATTGGACCGCGGACTGGCATCGTTCTGAACAACGGCATGAACGACTTCGCCGTGGAGAACAATTTTTATGGACTGCCCGCCTCGCAGGCAAACATCATTGCACCCCACAAGCGGCCGATGTCCTCGCAGTCCCCAGTCCTGTTGGCCGACAAGGCAGGCGAGATTCGTCTGGCTCTCGGAGCGGCCGGCGGCGCTCGGATCATTCCCGCTGTGGTCGAGGTGGCGGCTCGCGTCTTGTGGTTCGATCAGGATCTGAAGACGGCGATAGATGCCCCGCGCCTGTACCACCAGCTCATGCCCGATGTCCTGGAGTACGAGCAGGGCGGCTTCTCCGACCCGCTGCTGCAGCTCCTGGCCAAGCGGGGACACGTCCTCAAGTCGGTCAACAGTGCCCTAACATCGGTTGTCACGGCCATAGCGAGGAATGCAACGGCGGTCTATGCGAATGCCGACCATCGCAAGCGTGGCGGTGTTGCCGGCTTCTAGAGGTCAACCCACCCAGGCCTCCGCCTCAGCCTCCGCCTCCGTCTCCGCCCCCTCCCCACCCACTCGCACACAGCCGCACACATTCACACACACACACATTCACGCATTGAGATTAGATGAGCAAGAGCAGGAGCAGGCGAAATTGAAGTGGATGGATGGGGCTCAGTATCAGGCTCAGGATCAGAGTCAAGATCAGCCGCAGCATCAAGTGAAAAGTATTTAAGCTAGCTATGTCTTTTTTTACATACTATGTATATCGTACGTTATATAAATTTATATGCTACTACCTAACTACTACCTTATACAATAAACAATAAACAAAACAAAAACCACAAAAACTACAAAACTTGTCTTCTTTCAATAAATGTGCATGCAAAACAACCCATGGAATCACTCATGAAAGCGTCACGGCTGGGTGACTTTTTTCCAAAACAACTTTCGTATAACTAGAACTATGCGGGAACTAGTTCGGAAGAAAACCACAGATCGGAGCTGGTTCAAGGGGTCACTTTTGCTGAATTGATAAGACGGAGAGGTTTAACGAGTTTGAATAGAAATAAAGTCTTAAAAACGATAAAATATCCGTGGACTTTCTGCGCCAATAGAAAGAGTATTCCTTCACTTTTCCAATCCCATCCATTCTCTGGCCAACTTCGACTTGGATACTGATACTCAAAATGAGTATAGGGGTATATTAGATTTGTGGTTGAACTAAATGTGTGTAACACCCAGAAGAAAGCATTTCCGACCACATAAAGTGTATATATTCTTGATCAGCATGAAGAGCCTAGTCGGTAGAGCCATGTCTGTCTGTCCGTCCCGATAAGCGCCACGATCGCAGAGACTACAAGACTACTGCGATATCGCACTGTTACAAATGTATTTCGAAGAATGAGCCCTCACGATGATCATGATCGTGGGAGAATTGGGAAACCTCTCAAGTCAAAAACTCTAGAGTTTTCTTTGGCACCCCCCGTATACTAAATGTTCGAAAAGCTACTCCTTTTGCAAGATATAAGTAGTGATGCCACACTTGGTACCAATAGATTGAGTGTGTGTCCCGAGCTAATACCACCTTACCGATGTTTTTCTATAGACCCCTTTTCGGGCACACAAAGCAGCTAATGCCTTAAAAGTTAATCAAGTATTTGGAAAGACATTTGTTTGTTCATGAAACAAACAATGATTGCTGGCTCTCAAATATGTTGATGCAACAATTGGTTTTTCTTATAAGCTGTTTGTGCACTGTAGTAGTCGCGAATGCGACGAATGAGTTGAATGTTCATGTGTTTATTAACCGGTACAATGCCTACGGAAGAGCAAATATAATCACGACCCTGGACACCTTGCCAGAGGCGTGGTTCACGACTAGGGTCACCATGAAAGTGAGGATTTTGGTTGACTACTTCCAGACAAACGTGAGCGAGCACCAGGGGGCTTTGGCCTGGTATCGCACAGCAAACCTGCGGGAGACACTCGACTTCTATGATGTGAAGATAGAAAAGGATCTGCCCTACGTGAAGGGTCACTTTCATGTGTCGAGAGCCAACTTCTTTTCAAGCGGGCACTTCCTTATCACGGCGATCATTACAACCGAGGGCCTGTACGACAATGCGGTGACAGCAACGACCTATACGATTGTCAAGCTAATGCAGGGCAATGCCTGCGAGCCCAAATTCGACATTCCAAGCTGCTTCGACTCAAATCGGCCCCAATATTACGAGACATCCAAGGAAATTGTCCTCCGAGCCAACTTCTCCCGGTTCTGCCCAATGGATACCTTCATCCAATATCACTGGACCCTCCACGACAGTACCGATGCGAGTAAGTTCCTTCTTCGGGATCACGTTATACATTGTGGATACATTGTTTGTACTCACAGAACTACTGCAGTTCCTGGGGGCCACCCTGAGGCCGGAGATAAAACTGTCGCGGCATCGTCTGAGCGTGCGCCAACAATCGCCTCTGAGCCGCATAGTTCTCGTGCGGCTGAACGCCAAAATTGTGGGACGCCGCATACCACTTGTGGCTCGGGTAATTATTCTGTTATTGTGGCTGTCCTGTTGAACATCTAGTGCATTTAGTGCTATCTTTCCCTGGCGTCACAACGACTCTTTCCTGTTATCCGGGGCGGAAATTACAGGAGGGTTTTCCGCGGTAAGACCATCTCAATCAGCGGCAGCCTCAGCAAGGATCTTTCGCTTGCCCGGGAAGGACCCCAACACCTCGAATACAAGTGGTCGTGTACCGCCAAAATGAAGCAGCATAAGAACGTCTGTAAGAAAGACATGGGCACAAGTAAGACTTTACGGTACGGTCAAAGAACGTACTGCTCCTATATTGTATACAACTTTGTTCCGCAGGAGATCGCATTATTATTCCACCGTACAGCCAACCGAATAACCAGACACTCCACGTAGTACTGCTGATACGTTCCGCCTTCGATCCCATCCGCACCGCCAGGTCGAGGCAGAAACTGGACTTTGCCCTCTCCCCTCATCTGATAAACCTGGAGGTTGCCTGCGTTCGGAACTGCGAGGAGAACAAGTACTATCCGGGAAAACCCATCCACCTGATGGGCAAGTGCGAGGGCGTTGGCAACAAGAACATTACCAAATGGGAGTGGCTAGTGGGTAATCTGCCAGTAGAGGGACATGCAAACCGACTTATTTATACGGAAAAGGACATGAAGAAACAGAACGTTAGCATACATCTCAATGTGGAAGCAGCCCATCTATACAACCCGAGCTACAACTATTATGGAGAGGACTGGATATTTTTGGAGAAAAACATGGGCCCCACCGACACCAAGTGCACGATAGTCCCGAGAGATGGCTATGCATTCGAGACACTATTCATGATCCAGTGCCAGAGAAGTCGAGCTCGCTTCATGCCCCTTCGGTATTGTGTAGAAGTCGGCAACGTTCTCATTATCGACTGGCAGTCGAATCGGGAGATGGTCGTTCGACTCCTTCCAACGAATAAGGTTTACGTAAAGGTATGTACTGTAATCTGTTTCCATTGCATACCCCGCGGGGCATCAGAGCGAAGCCATGATGACCTTTAACAAGGTCGTCCGCTCCCGCAACGTGCTCTCTTTTCAGGTCCTATTTGGCGCAGTAGAACAACGAACTTCTCTCTCTCTCAGCAAACATGCCGTCAAAATAGTGCAGAGCCCCGAAAGAGAGTAGGTGGACCTCCTTGTATAATTTCTCCTTCTAACACCCACACTTTGCCGCTTAAAGCGCTCAACGCGCGCTCGCTTCTTCTGGTCCCCTCTCCATACGGACTCTCTCACTCCCACCTACAAAGTAATTTTAACTTGATTATGAGGAAAATTCTTTATCCCCCATTCCACAGATATGCGATAAGCTTGATGTTTGTGAAAATGTTGAGCTTAAAGTCCGGGTCCGGACAATACCCATTCCAGAAAAGGAGCCCGAGGTCATAGCTGACCATCTGGCTCGAGTGCGTCACTGGCTGGAGTATGCAGACTGGCAGAAGGCCTATCCTCTGTTGAGTCTAATATCCAAAGCGATCAAAACCAAGGAAATGCTGGTTATTTTCACGGATACACTCGCCGCACATGTGCCGCAGTCAACCGTAGAACTCACGCAGCTGGTGCGACTCACAAAGAACGTGGTGGTCACCATTCAGCCACTCGATGACATGAAGGCTCTTATATTGGCCAGAATGTTCCACAGAATCACCTCAACGTACAAGCTAATAGTCGAGAGCAACGATCTCACTCTGCTGGACGAATACTACGAGCAGATGACGAGCGATATGTGCGACATGCTGGACATCATAAACGCCGAGTGGGAGTACATTCCCAAGGCGCACTGCCTCACGGAGTCGGAGTCGTGCATAAACATCAATCACTTTGGAAAAAGACTAGAGCAACTGTCGTCCCTGCGACCGCTCCTGGAACATGTGGACAACTGGATGTACGCGTATTGGAAGCTGAGCAACTGCCTCATTTATATGGGGATGGAAACGGCCCGTCGTCTCCACCCCCATGAGGGCCCGAGACTAATTAAAAAGGATAGTTTCACCATCCACATGGAGAGCTTTGATCTGGACTACCAGCGCAGTCTCCGATTCGAGTCCGCCGACTCGATGCACACGCTCTCGTTTTCGCGGAATCTTCTTCGCGAACTGCGTCGGCGACTGCGACACAACGAAGTTCTGATTTCTGTGCGCAGTCATAAGATCAGCCAGTACTGGTGGTACCCGAAGAAGCGATCGCGAACCCAGGAACTGGTCGTAAATGCGTTTACGACCAGTTCAATGTTCCTACCGTCCGCACCGCTGTTGGAACCGCTCAAGTTCTTCGCGAGGCTAGAGAATACCCCGAAGATCGACATCGCCGAACGGGACAGGCGAAGTGAACTCTTTGGCGGACCCGAGGAGGAGGCCTATGCCGTTATTCACGATAATGTTTACACCCCGTTCGAGGTTCGAATGTACCGCACCGAAATCTATGCCAAGTCAGTGCTGAAGGTGACATTTATCCGAGCACAGATAGACTACGACGTGCTGATCCGTATGACGAACGTACCCAAGTTGGAGGACATGGACGTGCACGGCGCCATGTGTCGAGTGAAGTACGGCATTGAGCAGAGAACCAATTTTCTACTGAGAAATCGCTGCGGTGAAGCGCGCTCGGCGTTTATTTATCTCCGTGCAGCCAATCCATCTGAGCCGTGGGATACCTTTGATCAGAACGGAGCCTACTTCTCGTTCGCCACCGAGATCCACATCTGCCGAGCCTGGAACTCCTCGGGCACCGAGCATAGCTGGCAGAAAATATCCTGCATGCCCGATATGATCAAAAGCACCAACTCGGGTGTGCACTGCAGCTGCAATGTCATTGGCGACTTTGATGTGGATGCCATGCCCATAATCACCGTGCCCGTGAACATCAAATGCCACCTGGATCGGCCAGTGGCGAGACGGCACTACGATATGCTTATCGTGTACGTGCTCATAACCGTGCTGACTGTAATATACATAATTCATCACATGAAGAAAATACGTCATTGGGACAGGCAGCTGTGTGTTGTAGACTACTATACGAGAGCGCTGTACTACCGTGGCGACATCGTCCTCCGTCTCACCTTCGGTGGACGACTCAATGCCGGCTCGTCGGGCAATATCATAGTTTCATTGAAGTCATCCCAGGGGACTGTGCAAATGATCGTCTACCAAGACCCAATCTGCAAATCATTCCTGCGAAACAGCACAGTATCGTTCCGTATTCAGCGTGAGCTCGTCCAGGTGCCCGCTGAGATCGCGATCGGCCATGACGACTCTGGGATATACCCGCACTTCTTTTGTCGGACCGTTGTCCTTACCGATATGCACACCGGACAGACACAGACCTTCCTCATTCATAAATGGCTGAGGGGTGCCCCGAACACCTCCAGATACATATCAGCTCCGGTATTTTACTTCGCGAAAACCACCGAAAAAGAGGTATACCCTTGGCGCGCACGTTTCGCCCATATACTGGAAATTTGCATGGGAGGCTGGTATCTGTTTCAACCAATCATCGGTCCCTGGCGCATCGGAACGCACTGTTCTTCGTTTTGTCGCTGGGAGCGCAGTTGCATTTTTATAGTCAAGCTATTTGTCACGATTTGCATTGTTGTTCAGTACTTCGGGCCATCCTATGTGTCCCTGTCCTGCGACCCGAGTCCGAAGAAATACCACGACTTGTCTTCAGTATTCTGGGTAGCCTTGATATGTTTTATAACCACTGCTTTCGTACAAGCAGCTATGGAAAAGACTATCCTATTAATTGGATACTATGATCATATTTAGCAGAAAGTATGTGTGCTTTTTACCCTTATAAAAATGTATTGCAATATATTTTGAAAATAAAGTTTCCGTTGCCAATGATCTACTTTACTTTACTAATTACTGAGAATAGGTGCCTCTGGAAATAAGTCGATACCTGCTTGGACCGTCTTTGCACCAACATTAATGGGCCAGTAAGGTTCCCTGAACTACCTCTACCTGTGCAACTCCACTTATAAAAAGCCTCTCTATCGGTTAGTAAATTTGTAATCATATGTATCCTGTAACTTATACAATATATAGTATTCCCGAGGCCAGTCTCACAAATATTCGAGTTCTCTGTCTCTCTCCCTCTCTTTTCCTACAAATGAAGTACCTTAGGGCCGTTACATTCGGTTCTCTCACTCCACCAGGGGACGAAAAATAGATGGAAATAGATTTTCTTCATGTCCGAGCTGATCGAAATTCGGCAATCTTGTACATATAGTCGGGGGATGACTCAATCGACATTCCGGTCGAATTCCAGGTTTTTATTACGGCTTCCTTCTGGCTGTTACCCATGCAATCCTTGAGCAGTATTGGAAATAGAATAGACTCTAATAGACTACCCGGAAACACAAACATTGCTGTGAAAAAACTGTTACAGAGATTAAAAAATTATCAAGAAATCATTTGTTTCCAAATCCCATATACATACAATACGACATCAACTTTAACAACAAAAGCTTGTTCGTTTGAAACATGGCTTCAAAAGAGAAAAGGAAATTCATAAAATTAAAAGAAACCAAGAAGGATATTCAATCGTATAAGAAAGATGTCGAAACCGATCTCCATAAAATACCGCTGGAGGAACTCTTGGCGCGGATGAACACTGATCCGGTCAAGGTAGGCCGAGCAGCCAGAGGGCTCGTATTGACTACTAATTTCCCAAAAACCTTCGTTGTGCCTTCCAATTTGCTCAGGGTCTATCTAAGTCGGATGCAGCAGTGCGACTGGAACAAGATGGCCCCAATATGCTAACACCAGCCGCAGAAACGTCCCAGTTTGTAATATTCCTTAGGAATATGTTTGGCGGATTTGCCATGTTGCTGTGGGCTGGATCTTTCCTGTGCTTCGTTGGGTACATTATACAATCTCAAACCCAACCCGATGCACCTGATGACAACATGTTTCTTGGCTTAGCCTTGGCCATATTGGTGATCATCACTGGCTTATTCTCCTACTTCCAGGTAAATTTTATTGTTCCCTCGCGAGGAGTCATTGCATGACACAATTTACCAATGAAACCAGAACTTGGTTCCAGAGATGGCTCGTTACGAGTATAACCTGATTTCAGTATTAATACTTTTTTGTTGAGGCCTTTTCTGTGAGTTTTGTGGTGTACCACATGGAAACAGCTCTCAGATATCTCGTGGAAGAACACCTAACTTTCTCTTTCGCCCAAGGCCCTCTTTGGGGTCCTCTTGGGAATAGGACTACCTCATAAGTAGAATCATTCATGATACACTTATAGGGACTATAGAAGCGGGTGTTCGGCGATGAAAAGTACACTGCACATCTATTAATTGAATGATTTCCTTTTGTTCAGGTTCATAAATCATCGGCCATTATGGATTCGTTCAAGAATATGGTTCCGCAATATGCCACAGTTATTCGAGATGGCGAAATAAACACCATACCCGCAGATCAGCTCGTCAAGGGCGACATCGTGGAGGTGAAGTTCGGCGATCGAGTTCCGGCCGACATTCGAATCCTGGAGTCCCATGGCCTAAAGGTGGACAACTCATCGTTGACGGGGGAGTCGGAACCACAGGTTAGATCGCCCGAATACACACATGAGAATCCGCTGGAAACAAAAAATCTAGCCTTCTTCTCGACCAACGTCCTCGAAGGCACTTGCCGGGGAGTTGTCATCAGCTGCGGCGACAACACCGTTATGGGTAGAATAGCCAACTTGGCGGCCGGCTTGGACGAAGTACAGTCGCCCATATCCCGGGAAATAGAACGTTTTATTCGATTTATTACAATTCTGGCGTGTCTGTTGGGTTTCACGTTCTTTGTGATAGCATTAGTTCTTGGATACACGTTCATAGACGCCGTTGTGTTCCTCATCGGCATCATAGTGGCCAATGTGCCGGAGGGTCTGCTCGTAACAGTTACTGTCTGCCTGACGCTGACAGCCAAGCGCATGGCGTCTAAGAACTGCCTCGTGAAGAACTTGGAAGCCGTCGAAACATTGGGCTCTACGTCGACCATCTGCTCCGATAAGACGGGCACTCTGACGCAGAATCGAATGACAGTGGCACACATGTGGTATGATCAGGCCATAGTGGAATGCGATACCACGGAGAACTTCAGAGGGTCAAAGTTCGATAAGAGCGATGCCTCCTTCAACGCGCTTTTGCTCTGCTCAGCCCTCTGCAACTCGGCGGATTTCAAAGGAGGCCAAGAGGATTTACCGATTATCAAGAAAGATGTAAGTGGGAACGCTTCGGAGGCGGCACTGCTCAAATTTGCGGAGACTGTCTATGGCGGCGTCGGACCAGTTCGACGAAAACACCTCAAGATGACCGAGATACCCTTCAATTCCACGGAAAAATATCAAGTTTCTGTGCACGAGTTCGATTCGGAAGATGCTCACTATATTGTAGAGATGAAAGGTGCCCCAGAAAGAATATTGGACCGCTGTGAAACGATAATGATTCAGGGAGAAACCGTCAAACTGACGCAGCACCTGAAGGATGAGTTCGAGGAGGCCTACATGGAGATGGGCGGAATGGGGGAGCGAGTGTTGGGATTCGCCGACCTCATGCTCACGAAGAACGAGTATCCGCTGTCCTACGAGTTCAGTACGGAGCCACCAAACTTTCCGCTCACGCAGCTGCGCTTTGTGGGCCTGATATCCATGATAGATCCCCCGAGGGCGGCCGTTCCAGACGCAGTATCGAAGTGTCGATCGGCGGGAGTGCGAGTAATCATGGTAACTGGGGATCATCCCATCACAGCCAAGGCCATAGCCAAGAGTGTGGGCATCATAACGAAGCCCACGGCGGAGGACATTGCCAAGTCGCGTGGCGTTGATATCCACGAGGTGGACCCCCGCTCAGCCACTTCCATCGTGGTACACGGCGGAGAGCTCCGCGACATGAAGGCAGAAGACCTGGACGCCGTCATTTACTACCACACTGAAATCGTATTTGCCCGCACTTCGCCGCAACAGAAGCTCATCATAGTCGAGGCCTGTCAGAGGCGTGGCGAAATTGTTGCCGTCACGGGCGACGGCGTCAACGACTCGCCGGCCTTGAAGCGGGCCGACATTGGCGTGGCTATGGGCATTGCCGGATCGGATGTTTCCAAGCAGGCTGCGGACATGATTCTGCTGGACGACAACTTTGCCTCCATAGTTGTGGGCATTGAGGAGGGCCGCCTCATATTCGACAATCTCAAAAAGTCAATTGCTTACACTCTGACCTCGAATCTGCCCGAGATAGTGCCCTTCTTGCTGTTTGTGACAATTGACATTCCACTGGCCCTGGGGACCATCGCCATTCTGTGCATTGACATCGGAACCGATATGCTGCCGGCCATATCCCTTGCTTATGAGAAAGCCGAATCCGACATCATGTCCCGCATGCCGAGGGATCCATTCGAAGACCGCCTGGTTAACAAAAAGTATGCTTAGATGTGTTTCGATCGGAGTTCCCCCTAACTGCAATCCACTTCAATGTTACAGGTTGATTTTGATGGCCTATTTGCAGATCGGAGTCATACAAACCGTCGCTTGTTTCTTCACATTCTTTGCCATAATGGCCGAACATGGATTTCCGCCCATGTCCCTCGTGGGAGTTCGGGATCAATGGGACGCCAAGGATGTCGAGGACCTGAGAGACGACTATGGCCAAGAATGGGTACAATCGATGGCCTAAGGTTTAAATGGACTCAAGGTTTAATCTACTTCATTGTTTCACTGCAGACCTACGAGGAACGCAAGGAGCTCCAGTATACGGCCTGCACGGGGTATTTTGTCTCAATTGTTGTCACCCAGTGGGCCGATCTAATAATCTGCAAAACGCGCCGAAACTCCATATTACATCAGGGCATGAGCAATCATGTCCTCAATTTCGCATTGGTTCTGGAAACAGTTATCGCAGGTGCACTCTGCTACCTGCCAGGCATGAAAAAAGCACTAAGAATGTACCCCGTCAAGTAAGAAAACGTAGACTTAACCAGCTTGAACCACTTTGTAGACACTCCTACTTCCAGATTTATATGGTGGACCTATGCCTTTCCGTTTGGAGTGCTCATTATTCTATTTGACGAGGGTCGCCGCTATCTCATTCGCCGAAACCCCGGCGGCTGGGTGGAGCAGGAGACATATTACTAGTCATTGACATAAATAAATAACTCTGAAAATGGCATCGAGAATCAGTCGTATTAAGCCACGCTCCACACGCTCACAAATGATTCGCGAAACGGGTCAAATGCGAGACTTGATCCGACAAAACGCTCGCATTCGGATCCGTAGACTATGCAAATATATGATACAATACATATTGTGGCACTGAAAGTATCATTTATGACTTGAGAGACTTGCGATATCTTTTGCGCATTCTGGTTCTTGTGTTTTGGGCAGGAAATAGTTTTTACATTTTACGTGAATTGTATTCGAATAAATATTGCGACTACATTATACGGATGGGAATCAAAGCATTCCGAAGCATTGCCATTCGAAGCTGCCATGGTGCTGCCGTGCATGGTTTCGTTTAAAGCTAGTCATTTATTGAATTTGTCTCGCTACTGGCATTCATCAGAGTCTTACATGTTCGGTTTGATGGTTTATTATGGTTTTTCAGTTGAATGTTTTTACAATATACATATGCGCATAAAAACTAAAAACGTACGTACACATCTCGCACAGACTGTGTATAGAGAGTACAGCATGGATGGGTGTGCGTATAGGGTGCACCAGAAGATCGTGCCAGGCGTACACGCACAGCCAAGGATACTGCTCGCTTCAAAATATACATACATACATAGGCCTAGACATACTCGGTACCAAAGCTTAAACTTTAACACATAAATCAGTCGAAAACAGATCGTTTCATGAATTGTTGCTTGTTGCCGAATGCATATATAATAAATAAAACATTTGCATTATCATAATCGTTACAGTAGTCGGTTACAATATCTTCGCATGTGATGTGCTTGGATTTCCCTTCTGTTTTGTGGTTGCAAACAGCACAC